GCCGCCTCCCACAAATGTGTACCGACCTATTTCCCGGTGAGTCTGGGACTACTCGTCAACATACACCAGATAGCCGTGAGCTCTCGGAGAGAACAACCACCCATCTCTCCTCTCGCAAAGATCGTACTCGCCACCGCCTTCTGTAGGAACCGCAACACCGGGTTGCGTATCGAAGTCGCCTTGGCCGACTTGGGAATATATCTCGGGGCGGGATGTGTTGGAGTCTCGGCTATCAAACTCCAAACATCATTGGCATTAAAAGATGAAGGGAGATTCGGGTCCTCTGATGCTTGATAAATGTCCTTCTCCAATGTCTTCGAGTCGATGGTGTAGCTTTTATTGTCAAACCGGAACTTCATCGTTTTCACCATGTGATCGTACCCCGTTTTCTCGACCTCCAAGGTGGCAAGAAACTCCAATGTAAGGCCGGCATACGTCGGCCACTTCTGAGTCATCAAATACTCCCACCCTGCCCTTCGAATCAACTTGAGCACATCATCATAAAGGCCGAGAGTAACAAGTGCCTCATCATCAATATATCTCGTCGCCACCATCCTCAAATTCGAAAGATTTTTCCACCGTACCCTCTCCTCGTGCGACTTCAATCGAACGCCAAACACGGCCGGTTGTATAGCCGCCCCCGGAATAGGGTTGGCATCCGAACCTCTTCCACGGCCTCGTCCTCCCCGATTCGACATATCCTGAGACAAATGAATAATACCAAATTAGTCATACGACACATTATCTAAATAAGCATGAGCAATCCCAATGAACTAGATAGTTCCATAACCAAAAATTCCCTTCACTCATTATCTAGAAAACTCAATTATTCATCAAAGAATCATATCAAAGGACTAGGAGCATAGGAAAATCACAATTCAAACACATATCAACAAGAAACCCAATTTCAAAGGTGCCCACCATGTGTTCGATAAAACTCTTCAACCAAGTTCTTCAACCAAACTTGACAATATTAACATATAATAGCACATCAACATCAATTAACACAATAACCCACATCAAGATAGACAATAAACACAATCACACATCAAATTTGTGAGAATAAAGACAAATCCGAGTCTACTTCCAAAGTGAGTTCAAAATCTTACCTTGAGTCCAAAAAGAGAGCAAGGATTGAACAATTATGAACTTGTGATTCTAAGTGAA